ATCTGTTGTCCCTGTGTGTTTCCAGTGTGTAATGTGTTGTTCTTACGTGTTCACGTTGTGATACCTTCCTTGTGTGTTTCCATTGTGTTATTTGTTGTTCTTATGTGTTCATGTTGTGATACCTGCTGTCCCAGTGTGTTTCCATTGTGGTATGTGTTGTTCTTATGTGCTTACGTTATGATACCTGTTGTCCTTGTGTTTTTCCATTGTGTTATGTGTTCTTTTTATGTGTTCATGTTATGATGCCTGTTGTCCCTGTGTGTTTTCATTGTGTTATGTGGTGTTCTTATGTGTTTATGTTGTGATATCTGTTGTCCCTGTGTGTTTTCATTGTGTTATTTGTTGTTCTTATGTGTTCACGTCGTGATACCTGTTGTCTCTGTATGTTTTCATTGTGTTATGTATTGTTCTTATGTGTTCACGTCGTGATACCTGTTGTCTCTGTATGTTTCCATTGTGTTATGTTTTTGCTCTTATTGTGTACGTTGTGGTACCTGTTGTCTTAGTATGTTTCCAGTGTGTTATGTGTTGTTCTTATGTGCTTACGTTATGATACCTGTTGTCCTTGTGTTTTTCCATTGTGTTATGTGTTGTTCTTATGTGTTTACGTTATGATACCTGTTGTCCTTGTGAGTTTTCATTGTGTTATTTGTTGTTCTTATGTGTTCATGTTATGATGCCTGTTGTCCCTGTGTGTTTACAGTGTGTAATGTGTTGTTCTTACGTGTTCACGTTGTGATACCTCTTGTCCTTATGTGTTGTTCTTATGTGGTCACGTTGTGATACCTGTTGTGTCTGTATGTCTCCATTGTGTTATGTGTTGTTCTTATGTGGTCACGTTGTGATACCTGTTTTCCTTGTGAGTTTTCATTGTGTTATTTGTTGTTCTTATGTGTTCACGTCGTGATACCTGTTGTCTCTGTGTGTTGTCATTGTGTTATGTGTTGTTATTATGTGTTCACGTTGTGATTCCTGTTCTCCTTGTGAGTTTTCATTGTGTTATGTGTGTTGTTCTTATGTGTTCCCGTTGTCATCCCTGTTCTCCCTGTGAGTTTTCATTGTGTTATTTGTTGTTCTTATGTGTTCACGTTGGGATACCTGTTGTCCCTGTGAGTTTTCATTGTGTTATTTGTTGTTCTTATGTGTTCACGTCGTGATACCTGTTGTCTCTGTGTGTTGTCATTGTGTTATGTGTTGTTATTATGTGTTCACGTTGTGATCCCTGTTGTCCTTGCGGTTTCCTGTTATGTGTTGTTCTTATCTGTTCACTTTGTGATTCCGTTTGTCCTTGTGTGTTTCCATTATGTTATGTGTTGTTCTTATGTGCTTACGTTATGATACCTGTTGTCCTTGTATGTTTCCATTGTGTTATGTTTTTGCTCTTATTGTGTACGTTGTGGTACCTGTTGTCTTAGTATGTTTCCAGTGTGTTATGTGTTGTTCTTATCTGTTCACGTTGTGATACCTCTTGTCCTTATGTGTTGTTCTTATGTGTTCACGTTGTGATACCTGTTGTCCTTGCGGTTTCCATTGTGGTATGTGTTGTTCTTATGTGTTCATGTTATGATACCTGCTGTCCCTGTGTGTTTCCATTGTGGTATGTGTTGTTCTTATGTGTTCACGTTGTGGTACCTGTTGTCTTTGTATGTTTCCAGTGTGTTATGTGTTGTTCTTATGTGTTCACGTTGTGATACCTCTTGTCCTTGTATGTTTCCGCTATGGTTAATATTGTCCTTGTGTTTTGCTTCGTCGATAGATGTTGTCTTTGTCTTTATTCAAGGAGCAATATCGATCCTGTATTTCATCGAATTATATAAGATATCTTATTTAATTATATAAGATATCTCATATACATTAAAGATATCTTATATGAGATATCTTATATATATATATGAGATATCTTATATAGCATATGAGATATCTTGTATAGCATATGAGATATCTTATATAGAAAATTAAATGAGATATTTCATATAGAAAATTAAATGAGATATCTCATATACAATAAAGATATCTCATATACAATAAAGATATCTTAAATATATATGAGATATCTTATATATATATGAGATATCTTTCATAGCATATGAGATATCTTATAAAGCATATCAGATATCTTATATACGATAAAAGATATCTTATCTGATATATAAGATATCTTATATATCAAGATATCTTATATAATATGTAAGATATCTTATATAATATATTAGATATCTTATATAGAAATTAAATGAGATATCTTATATAAGTATATAAGATATCTTATATCGCATATAGGATATCTCATTTAATTTTCTATATAAGATATCTCATAAAATGTATAAGATATCTCATATATTATATAAGATATCTTATATAATTGAAATCTCGTTGCTATATAAGATATTTGATATAGAATGAGATTGCGTGGCATTAAAAACCAGAAACTAATTTCTCTTGAGAATCATTCGGAGCACATTCAGGATTGCATTGGGCGCTTTGGCGGAGAGGAATGGTACGGATACGGAGAGGGATACGCTATTCGATGGTATTAAACAATGTATTATAGCGGCCAAAGCAGAGGCTGCCATTTCCCGCACTCTTGAAGTGGGCTCAGACATAATGACGGCGACATGAACACGTGTTGTTACAACAAGCCTACTGTCCCTACGTAGATTCTCGAGTTATTCCGGACGGGGAGACTTCATTTTCAATATTTTGTTAAAATCTCGTTCCTATATAAGATATCTTATTTAGTAACGAGACTTGAATTATATAAGACATCTTATATAGCTATATGAGATATCTTATATATTATATAAGATATATTATATAGAAAATTAAATGAGATATCTTATATACGATATAAGATATCGTATATATCATATAAGATATCTTATATAGCATCTCATTTAGTTTCTATATAAGATATCTCATATGCTATATAAGATATCTTATATTTTTTTTTGGAAAAACAGGATCGACATTGCTCCTTGAATAAATGTTTAGTTGGATTGCCATACAACCCAGGCTTTTCCAATAGTGATACTAGTAAATCAGAGGTCTTAATATAAATAACCCCACTTTGATTTGAAATGTGACAACATCGGCACACTGACAGATTAACAAGGTTTCGCATTCAAAGTTACAGGTGAAACATAAATTGTAGTATTACTGAAGACAACGACACCTAAAACTCGTGAAATGAGTTTGGTTGATCTGTGAAAAAAGAGATACGCATGACCATTGTTAAGGATGTAAAACGTAATTTTATTTTCTATACAATAAAACTGATTTGAAATGAAATGAAAATATAAAATTCAACCGGAAAAAATGATCTACACAATAAGCTTATCGTGCAATAGTGTACACACCCACCGCACAACGTCAGCACGTGTTGTTTCTTTACGATTGTATGGAAAACAGAGCCATGAAAAAAGTTGTTCATATACATTTTATAAACTATGGAAATATTGCATCGATTGAAACAAACATAAAAAAGGCAAATAATAAATAGTCTGCGTTTTTTTCCACATATATGTACGCACATTAAAACAACTCCACGTGCAGAGCACGCATATTTTCTCAATTAAGAATGATATTTATGCTAAAGATGTTTGAAAGAAGACGCAGACTTCGAATGTTTGACAATGTAACATATAACATTGAATTGATTATCTCCTAATCGATTTAAGATTTGGTCAGGACTGGTAGAATGTAAACCTACCATCAAATTACTGTTACCTCTTACCATGCAGATCCCTGCTTTATAAACTTGTGGTCAGAAGAAATATAAAGGCCTAACGGGCACCTCTTATTTACTTTATTCCCGGAAACTTTCATTAAGTCAAATATTCGCCCCTCAATAGTAAAATCTGCATTCGCCCAGTGTAAAGGACTAGGGGCATTCAGGGTCATGTCCGGCCTCATCGGGGAGGAAGAATTAATTGTTATGTTCGTAATCTGGAATTAATGAAGTACGCAAATATGAAATTTCAAATCCATTCGACAACTGGTTGAGGAGATATGTTTTTACAAAAGAGACAAAACCACGCTTTTTTAAACTTGTTTTTTTTTATCCCATTGCTTACTTCTTAATAAATCACTTATTTATTATCTTTCGATTATTTTTATTTCCATGTCACAACTGACCAATCGGATTCCTAAATTTTCCAATTGTGTGTACTAATTCCTTTGGTAATGAACCTTTTATCTGATGACCCTTTAAAACAACATATATCTGATGTAAGCAATCTTCCCTGCCATAATGACCTATTATCTTTGTCAGTGATGAGACCTGTATCTGATGCTATAGTTCTTTTTGCATGTTGGCATCATAACGAAGCCCAGTGCTCGTTTCACAGATATATAGTGTATAGATTGGCTACTTACACAGATATATAGTGTATAGATTGGCTACTTACACAGATATATAGTGTATAGATTGGCTACTTACACAGATATATAGTGTATAGATTGGCTACTTACACAGATATATAGTGTATAGATTGGCTACTTACACAGATATATAGTGTATAGATTGGCTACTTACACAGATATATAGTGTATAGATTGGCTACTTACACAGATATATAGTGTATAGATTGGCTACTTACACAGATATATAGTGTATAGATTGGCTACTTACACAGATATATAGTGTATAGATTGGCTACTTACACAGATATATAGTGTATAGATTGGCTACTTACACAGATATATAGTGTATAGATTGGCTACTTACACAGATATATAGTGTATAGATTGGCTACTTACACAGATATATAGTGTATAGATTGGCTTTTTACTTTATATTGCGTCATATCAAAGCTTAATACGAGAAAACAAGCTCGTCTGTTTGATTGATCGTCTGAAGCGCGGTTTTTCCACTATACCATCACGGTCAGGCAAGTTAATTTAATGAATCAATATCAGCTAACGCCGCTTTGTACATTGACTTTTTTTAATACGTTTTTCCAAAACCTCATTAACAACAAAGAGCACACACAAGAAGATTCTCCCTGTTCTTTGATTTTATTCCAGGATGTTCAAGAAAGAAGCCGCTTTCAACCTTCATTCATCAGTAAGAACGATCACTTTGCCTAGAGTCGAACAGTAGGTCGGTATCGTAAGTATTTGTTCTCACTATACTGAAAAATAGACTTCTCAATAAGTATAGGTCTGATGTCGAGTTTACAATGGAAGTTTTAATCCTCACATTATAATGGGTATGACATCATATGTAGGTACTAATACATGGTGGTTGATTGAAGCACCTTGTAAACCCGTCAGTAAGATTCAGGTTGTTCTCTAACTCAAACAGGAAAGGTCTTGACGATCCGTATTATGACCCGATTTTTGGCTATGATACCTGTTAACGGTGTGTTTAGACCGTGGGTAACCTACCTGGACTCGACAGGTGACATCGTGATAGTTACCTAACATGGGACAGGGAATGCTTACTCCTTTGGAACACCTGTTCTTATTGTTGGGACTAATTATGTCTTTGTGTTGACATCATCTCTTTATTCCTGTAGATATTTAATTGTATCTCCACTATTACATTTATATTGATCATATGTCCTGATACTGTGTCTATTGTATTATAGGTTAACTCTTCGTCATCCTGTAATTGACACTATAATTCTCATTTGTGAAATGTAACAATTTTATTTCGATTTTTAAAAAACACGTAATTATTTTTGAGCTCGGCTACGGTTTGGGCGACATTCAACATGACATACAAAGAACATTTCAAACTATTACACAGACCAGTTATTCTATCCTATATATATATGTAGCCATGTAAACACGCGCGCTACCTGAGGTTTAAATCTTCTTTCATTATTTCCCGTCAGACGCAATATCTGGAGTACTATCTGGATTTCAAATAGAGATTGCCGTCTCTGAAATAAAAGTTCATTCTGTATCATCCGCAACTGGGGGGAATTGTATCAAAAAATGACATTAAATCATTGTTTATACATATTTTACAACCTTTTAAGTTCGATTCGCTATCGTGTGTAAATAATGATTATGACTAATGGCATGCCTGTCGGATCCACAGATAATAACCGTGAAATTTTTATTGCATATTGCAGATTTTATTTTCCCGGAGGAAATATTAAATAATTTTGATTCGATGTTTCAATCGATTTACTTTCTGCGTTTAGAATGTAAATAACGCGATTGACTGCAATAAAATCGTCTGTGAGGCGGATCGTAGACTGTAGACAATAGTGTCTGTCACCAGGAATAGCGCCCTCATCTGTTAGCCGGGTCATAGACTGTAGACAATAGTGTCTGTCACCAGGAACACCGCCCTCGTCTGTGAGCCGGATCATAGACTGTAGACAATAGTGCCTGTCACCAGGAACACCGCCCTCATCTGTGAGCCGGATCAGAGACTGTAGATACTATTGTCTGTCACCAGGTATAGCGCCCTCGTCTGTGAGGCGGATCATAGACTGCAGACAATAGTGCCTGTCACCAGGAACACCGCCCTCATCTGTGAGCCGGATCATAGACTGTAGATAATATTTTCTGTCACCAGAAACACCGCCCTCATCTGTGAGCCGGATCAGAGACTGTAGATACTATTGTCTGTCACCAGGTATAGCGCCCTCGTCTGTGAGGCGGATCATAGACTGCAGACAATAGTGCCTGTCACCAGGAACACCGCCCTCATCTGTGAGCCGGATCATAGACTGTAGATAATATTTTCTGTCACCAGAAACACCGCCCTCATCTGTGAGCCGGATCAGAGACTGTAGATACTATTGTCTGTCACCAGGTATAGCGCCCTCGTCTGTGAGGCGGATCATAGACTGCAGACAATAGTGCCTGTCACCAGGAACACCGCCCTCATCTGTGAGCCGGATCATAGACTGTAGATAATATTTTCTGTCACCAGAAACACCGCCCTCATCTGTGAGCCGGATCAGAGACTGTAGATACTATTGTCTGTCACCAGGTATAGCGCCCTCGTCTGTGAGGCGGATCATAGACTGCAGACAATAGTGCCTGTCACCAGGAACACCGCCCTCATCTGTGAGCCGGATCATAGACTGTAGATAATATTTTCTGTCACCAGAAACACCGCCCTCATCTGTGAGCCGGATCAGAGACTGTAGATACTATTGTCTGTCACCAGGTATAGCGCCCTCGTCTGTGAGGCGGATCATAGACTGCAGACAATAGTGCCTGTCACCAGGAACACCGCCCTCATCTGTGAGCCGGATCATAGACTGTAGATAATATTTTCTGTCACCAGAAACACCGCCCTCATCTGTGAGCCGGATCAGAGACTGTAGATACTATTGTCTGTCACCAGGTATAGCGCCCTCGTCTGTGAGGCGGATCATAGACTGCAGACAATAGTGCCTGTCACCAGGAACACCGCCCTCATCTGTGAGCCGGATCATAGACTGTAGATAATATTTTCTGTCACCAGAAACACCGCCCTCATCTGTGAGCCGGATCAGAGACTGTAGATACTATTGTCTGTCACCAGGTATAGCGCCCTCGTCTGTGAGGCGGATCATAGACTGCAGACAATAGTGCCTGTCACCAGGAACACCGCCCTCATCTGTGAGCCGGATCATAGACTGTAGATAATATTTTCTGTCACCAGAAACACCGCCCTCATCTGTGAGCCGGATCAGAGACTGTAGATACTATTGTCTGTCACCAGGTATAGCGCCCTCGTCTGTGAGGCGGATCATAGACTGCAGACAATAGTGCCTGTCACCAGGAACACCGCCCTCATCTGTGAGCCGGATCATAGACTGTAGATAATATTTTCTGTCACCAGAAACACCGCCCTCATCTGTGAGCCGGATCAGAGACTGTAGATACTATTGTCTGTCACCAGGTATAGCGCCCTCGTCTGTGAGGCGGATCATAGACTGCAGACAATAGTGCCTGTCACCAGGAACACCGCCCTCATCTGTGAGCCGGATCATAGACTGTAGATAATATTTTCTGTCACCAGAAACACCGCCCTCATCTGTGAGCCGGATCAGAGACTGTAGATACTATTGTCTGTCACCAGGTATAGCGCCCTCGTCTGTGAGGCGGATCATAGACTGCAGACAATAGTGCCTGTCACCAGGAACACCGCCCTCATCTGTGAGCCGGATCATAGACTGTAGATAATATTTTCTGTCACCAGAAACACCGCCCTCATCTGTGAGCCGGATCAGAGACTGTAGATACTATTGTCTGTCACCAGGTATAGCGCCCTCGTCTGTGAGGCGGATCATAGACTGCAGACAATAGTGCCTGTCACCAGGAACACCGCCCTCATCTGTGAGCCGGATCATAGACTGTAGATAATATTTTCTGTCACCAGAAACACCGCCCTCATCTGTGAGCCGGATCAGAGACTGTAGATACTATTGTCTGTCACCAGGTATAGCGCCCTCGTCTGTGAGGCGGATCATAGACTGCAGACAATAGTGCCTGTCACCAGGAACACCGCCCTCATCTGTGAGCCGGATCATAGACTGTAGATAATATTTTCTGTCACCAGAAACACCGCCCTCATCTGTGAGCCGGATCAGAGACTGTAGATACTATTGTCTGTCACCAGGTATAGCGCCCTCGTCTGTGAGGCGGATCATAGACTGCAGACAATAGTGCCTGTCACCAGGAACACCGCCCTCATCTGTGAGCCGGATCATAGACTGTAGATAATATTTTCTGTCACCAGAAACACCGCCCTCATCTGTGAGCCGGATCAGAGACTGTAGATACTATTGTCTGTCACCAGGTATAGCGCCCTCGTCTGTGAGGCGGATCATAGACTGTAGACAATAGTGTCTGTCACCAAGAACAGCGCCCTTGTCTGTGAGCCGGATTATAGACTGTTGACAATAGTGTCTGTCGCCAGGAACAGCGCCCTCATCTGTGAGCCGGGTCATAGACTGTAGACAATAGTGTCTGTCACCAGGAACACCGCCCTCGTCTGTGAGCCGGATCATAGACTGTAGACAATAGTGCCTGTCACCAGGAACACCGCCCTCATCTGTGAGCCGGATCAGAGACTGTAGATACGATTGTCTGTCACAAGGTATAGCGCCCTCGTCTGTGAGGCGGATCATAGACTGCAGACAATAGTGCCTGTCAACAGGAACACCGCCCTCATCTGGGAGCCGGATCATAGACAGTGGATAATATTGTCTATCACGAGAAATAGCGCCCTCGTCTGTTAGGCGGATCATAGACTGCAGATTATAGTGTCTGTGATCATAGACTGTAGACAATATTGACTGTCACCAGGAAAACCGCCCTCATCTGTGAGCCAGATCATAGACTGTAGACAATAGCGCCTGTCACCAGGAACACCGCCTTATATGTGAGCCAGATCATAGACTGTAGACAATATTGTCTGTCAACAGGTACACTGCCTTATCTGTGAGCCGGATAAAAGACTGTAGACAATATTGTCTATCACCAGGAACGCCGCCCTCATCTGTAAGTCGGATTATAGACTGCAGATTATAGTGTCTGTGATCATAGACTGTAGACAATAGCGCCTGTCACCAGGAACACCGCCCTCATCTGGGAGCCGGATCAGAGACTGTAGATACCATTGTCTGTCACCAGGTATAGCGCCATTATCTGTAATTTGGATCATAGACTATAGATAATAGTGTCCTTCACTAGGAATAGCGCCCTCGTCTATAAGTCGGATCATAGACTGGAGACAATATTGTCTGTCACCTGGAACACCGCCCTCGTCTGTGAGCCGGATAATAGACTGTAGACAGTAGTGTCTGTCACCAGGAACACTGCCTTATTTGTGAGCCAGATCATAGACTGTAGACAATAATGACTGTCACCAGGAATAGCGCCCTCCTCTGTAAGTCGGATCATAGCCTGCAGATTATAGTGTCTGTCACCAGGACCACCGCCCTAATCTGTGAGCCGGATCATAGACTGTAGACAATAATGACTGTCACCAGGAATAGCGCCCTCCTCTGTAAGTCGGATCATAGACTATGATAATAGTGTCAGTCACCATGTACAGCGCCCTCGTCTGTAAGTCGGATCATAGCCTGCAGATTATAGTGTCTGTGATCATAGACTGTAGACAATAGTGTCTCTGTCACCAGGAACACCGCACTCATCTGTGAGCCGGATCAGAGACTGTAGATACGATTTTCTGTCACAAGGTATAGCGCCCTCGTCTGTTAGGCGGATCATAGACTGCAGATTATAGTGTCTGTGATCATAGACTGTAGACAATAATGTCTGTCACCAGGAATAGCGCCCTCATCTGTGAGGCGGATCATAGACTGCAGATTATAGTGTCTGTGATCATAGACTGTAGACAATAGCGCCTGTCACCAGGAACACCGCCTTATATGTGAGCCAGATCATAGACTGTAGACAATATTGTCTGTCAACAGGTACACTGCCTTATCTGTGAGCCGGATAAAAGACTGTAGACAATATTGTTTGTTAACAGGAACCGCGCCCTCATCTGTTAGCCGTATTATAGACTGTAGACAATCTTGTCTGTCACCAGGAACACTGCCTTATTTGTGAGCCAGATCATAGACTGTAGACAATATTGACTGTCACCAGGAAAACCGCCCTCATCTGTGAGCCAGATCATAGACTGTAGACAATAGCGCCTGTCACCAGGAACACCGCACTCATCTGTGAGCCGGATCAGAGACTGTAGATACTATTGTTTGTCACCAGGTATAGCGCCCTCGTCTGTGAGTCGGATCATAGACTGTAGACCATAGTGTCTGTCACCAGGAACTCCGTCCTCATCTGTGAGGCGGATCATAGGCTGCAGACAATAGTGCCTGTCACCATGAACACCGCCCTCATCTGTGAGGACAATAGTGCCTGTCACCATGAACACCGCCCTCATCTGTGAGGACAATAGTGCCTGTCACCAGGAACCCCGCCCTCATCTGTGAGCCAGATCATAGACTGTAGACAATAATGTCTGTCACCAGGAATAGCGCCCTCCTCTGTAAGTCGGATCATAGACTATGATAATAGTGTCAGTCACCATGTACAGCGCCCTCGTCTGTAAGTCGGATCATAGACTGCTGATTATAGTGTCTGTCAGCAGGAACAGCGCCCTCATCTGTGAGCCGGATCATAGACTGTAGACAATATTGTTTGTTAACAGGAACAGCGCCCTCATCTGTAAGTCGGATCATAGACTGCAGATTATAGTGTCTGTCAACAGGAACAGCGCCCTCATCTGTTAGCCGGATTATAGACTGTAGACAATATTGTCTGTCACCAGGAACACCGCCCTCATCTGTGAGCCGGATCATAGACTGTAGACTAATAGAATCCTTCCCTGATGAGAGGTATGGATAATGTTATACAAACCCAAGGGATAAACTATTGAGCAGGGGACCCGAGGCTCTGCCGAGGGCCTTTTGCTCAATATTTTATCCCGAGGGTTTTAATAACCTTATCCTTACCTCACATCAGTCTATGTCTACCCTACTAAAACGGGAATGTACCTGTGAAGTGTGGGAGAAAATTGTGTCTGTCATTGGGAACTTTGTCCATGTGTGTCCGCCGAATCAGAGACTGTAGACAATAGTGTCTGGCATTGGGAACTTGGTCAATATTAATCCAAATGTGTCGCATTAACTTTGGTTACAGGACGTTCACGAACATACAGATCGAGCTGTCGCCAGTATGGGCGGGGCCAAATGACCGACTTTTAAAAGCTTTTTTTCCGATTGGTCAGTCTGCTGCAGAATGACACGTTGCCAGTTCAGGTCACAAAGTATTTTACTACGTACTTTTGTACAAGGAAATACAATGTTTCTAAACATATTAGCGTAGTATATTTGTTAAGGTGCGTTAGAATGGGGATAGTACGTTGTTTTTCGTGTCTATACTGGCGATTAGAACATGAAATATGGTTTACACTCTCGACCTATCGGTCTCGAGTTCAAACCCAAATTTCATGTTCTAATCGCCAGTACTCAAAACAACGTACTACCCCTAATTATCAGGCTGTCATACAATGCCGATGTTCTCAATAACGGACAACAATTGTAGTTCCCTTTGACCTTTACAAAGTAAATCTTGTCGAAAGTCCCTTTTGCATCTGTGGGCATCCATGTAAGAATTCCTTTCACTTTTTCTTTGAGTGTCAACATTTTAGCAATGAAAGGCGTATTTTGTTTCAAAATTTGATTGCCTTGGGTATAGATTTAAATTTAGAGCTTTCGATGAACCTTAACTCTTACGTTTTTAGACATGTGCATCACTTCATCAAATCCAACAGAAGAATTTTGAACGGTGCCTTTTTTAAGGTTGTGCATTTGTACCGGTGTGAATATTATATATATCTACGTCATGTGTATGTCTATTATCATTGCTGACATGTAATTGTAAATGTATGACGGGAGAAGGCTGTGACAAGTTGTAATAACTTGTGCCCAATCCCTTGTTCAATTTTATTGGCAATAAATATGTTTAAAGCAATACGTCGAGCGCTAGTTTGACGTAACTGCATACTAACAATGTACTGTAAAGTACTACGGTACATTGGTTTATCATCTTGTTCCTTATTTAGATACACCTTGACTGTAAGTACTGTGCATACATTATCATTCTTTACTTTTTTCATATACATACAATGTTTGTATTGTGTAGATACATTCTTCAGTTATCTTTATTATGTAGATACACTATACTGTAACTACTGTACATACAGAAATGGTAAATAGTGTACGGACACATTATTTTGATATTCATTATTTTTGGGTATAAGTATGCACTGTAGTACTTTGTTAAGCTGTAGCTAACACATACACACACCTTGTATCCATACGTTACATGTGTTTTAGGAAATTAAAACTGCAGGATTCCGTGTTATTTGAAGGTTGTGATGTTTCTCACCTTTCTAGCGACATTAACCTGTGACAAGTTAACTCGACTCAAAAAGTACAGTATGTATTAGGATGTAGTGAGGCTAGATAATCTTACGTTATAAGAGTCAAAGCTAACATCACTCATTTTCTTTTTTATAGGCTACCGTTGTCCTAACCATTACAACTTCGATGACACCGTTATCGGAACCACTGTTGACGACATGAGTCCAGCCGGAAATGGTAAGGATCCGGTTTTGAATGTCCGGACGTTGTGACGATCGGACTTTGATGATCTTGTTATGAGCTATCGGTATGTGACGTAGAAATCTGCTGTTCCATAATTGGTGCCTAATGACACGACAAGAAGACAGACCACGCTTATAAGATTTACACTCGTCAGTTTAACCGGTCATTGGTACTCCCACACGGATTATATCGTGTCGAGGAGGAAATGGACTGGAGTTATACACGAGCTAGTCATTCAAGTTCACACGTGCGTACAAGTGACATGGAACTGGTTTGTGTATAATCGCTACAGTATACTATAGGTTCTGTCTATTACGATCCGTTGTAGGTGTTTGTATGTTATGTGAATGAAACCAGTGACATGTGAACACGATGCACGAGACTAACAGTGTCACGTTCCTGACAATAGACATAACTCTCATGATTTTAGTGACAGTTCTTAACCTCCTTGTCATCTTCATTCTGATTGTAAAAGCTAACGTGAGGAAATCGAAAACCATATTTCTCCTGTCACTTGCTTTTGCGGACATGTTTGTTGGGATATTTGTTATTCCAAACGCCATCTCCATTATGTATCTGCACGTGAAAATGGAGGATTTTGTGTGTAAACTATGCTACTACGGCGAACACACAATGAGTGCAGCAAGTGCACTTTCCATATCGGTGATTGCGGTGGATCGTATGCGTGCTATACTGTTCCCTTTAAAGTTCAAAAGCGTACATCGTGGCTTTTCCTACCTGGTGTTAGCTTTAGTATGGATACTGGCATTGCTTTACGCACTGCGAACCCCATTTGTGTATGGTGCCGTGACCAGGATATCGGAGGTGACCGACAGTAACGTGACCGTCTCCAAGACCGAGTGTACAATCATGCAGGGCCAGTCTATGGTACACCAAGGCCTAATCTACCTGGATTTCTTCGTACTTTTTCTCTTGCCTAGTACTGTGCTAGTGACGTGTAATGTCGCCGTATCTATCCGACTTGCTGCAGTACCAACAATTCAGGCAACAGGACGAACTCGCTTGTTAATGAAAAGAAGACGTTCTATTCGTCTTCTACTTGCAATGATTTTCCTCTTTGTAGGATGTCATCTACCGTTGTATTCCTTTCAGATTCACCTACTTATTGCGACCACGGATGTTTATACGGAGAGAGTCATAATGCAGTCATTGCTCATATTGTCTTGGTCGAACAGTCTTTTGAATGTTTTGTTCTATGGTTCTTTGAATGATGACGTTAAGAGTACACTCGCCATGATTATTAGATGCCAGTGTAGGAAACGTAACAACAGAGTGGCCATTTCGACAATCAGAACTACAAGACGTCAGCATCAATCTACGATGGCTGCACACCAACAAACAACCATTTCTACGACAGTGACCTCAATATAACCCATACGTCATTTTAAAATTAATTTAATGAATTGCATATACATGTATTGTAAAGCACCTTAGGGTAACTTGTACTAGCTAGATAGAGTGCTAAATAAAAGATCGTTACTGGATGCCAATTTTCTTAAACATACAAACTAATTGTCTGTTCCCCCAGAAGCATAAGCAGACACAGGCGCTCCATCTACATGTCGGTGATTCTACTCATGAGGTAGACCCAGTTATAAAACATAACTTAGATGTAAAATTGGATCGTTCAGTGAAACTGGTAAAACAAGTACGTGAAGTACTCTTGCAAAATCCCGAAATTGTCGGATCAGAAACGTTGGTTGTACAGATGCACGTAAGTTTAAGGATCCGTGTACCACTACCTAGCTGTAACTACGCATTTGACATTTATTTTCCGGTATGACTATAGCGTTGATAAATCATTTCTGAAAAGAAAGCCATACCTTGCCGGACTTTTATCGGAACTTAAACAAAATATAATCAACAACAGTGTTCTGTGTGTAAAAATTCAGCGGGGCTAGACAGGATTTCGAAATTTGGACTTAACATTGCTATACTATCTCTCAAAAATATTGAGATACCTCGTCAACGGAAATGTCCTGTCCCAACTGTGCAAGTTATATCCAAACAGAAGTTAATGGCAGATTAAAATATATATAGGAAAATACACAAAGCAACGGGACAGGGATATTTAGTACACCCATAACACGAGAGGCCGCTGGTCGGCCTTTTTTCTATCGGATATGATTTTGCCGACTGCGAACTCTCATTTCCGAAGCACTAATTCTTTGATGCAGTTTCCGCCCGAAATCCGGGCGGAACTAAATCGGCTTGAAAAACTCAATTAAGTGGTTCACAGTTCATGACAACGATTTCTATTCACGGTTCATGTAATATAGATCCCATGTGTATGCCACAGACACAAATGTATAGTATATTAAGGAATAGAACACACAAAATACATGTCCATGTCGTTGTAGCATTCTCTGACCTACTTCTAAAACATGGATTCCTGGGTTAGTGCAAAATAGCAGGGGGAATTTCAAACGGAACAAAAAGAATTGGTGTTTCTTTGTATTCCGCTTGTTAAACATCACATGTAGTAACCATTTTTGTTGTAACCGGAAAATCATGGCAAATGTTGTCTGCTTCACTTTGAAAGAGGAAAAACTTATTTGTATGTCTTTGTCACCAAATTCTTCTCATTTAATTATAGATTTATGGAAAGGAACATTTTTTGGACCCTGAAGAACATTTAAATGTATGCAAACACATTATACTTTTTCTAAATCCGAACTATGGAAAATTGATCGTCAGCATCGGGAAAATCAGCTATGGGCAGTTAGAGGTTACGCGGTGCCTGTCAAAAGTTTTTCGCCGTGTAAAACCTCTAACATTGTTGGAGTAGGGTCTTTAGGTGACTTCTCCCTTTGGACTAGTTCATGTCCAGCTTCGTGGTATTTCAGATATAGTGGGTTTCCGTCCCCTCTATAAAGGACCTAGAATGCTTAAGAACGTCTGGTTACCCGGACTCGAAAGAGAGCTTGTCATGGACTCAGTGAATTTTGATGCCCACATACAAAGTACTAAATGGAATAACTCCCTAGTATTTACTGGGTATTTTCCATATATCGTCAGTCATGATCACTCGGGGCAGCGACAGAATCATTGTGTTATGCATTAACAAATATCGCAAAATGACCTATGCAAACGGGTGTTTCGAAAAAGTAGCAGCCATCTTATAGAATGTTATCTTCTGCTACCAGAAAGTCAGAAACCCTAACACCAAGACTTTTACCACCAACAATGCTTTGTTTTGAATCTGTACGTTTAAAGCAATGATGCTCTCTGCTTCATAAAGATTCTTATAGATATTCTGTCTCCACGTTTTCACTCCAAGAAAAACGATGTACAAGCTAATTATGTAGAGTTAAGCTGCATGCCTTATACTTTGATAGACTTTTGTGTAACCCAAGAAAAATTATTTTACATGTTTTAAGTATACTATGGAAGCCGGCTAGTGCCACGTTAACTCATTTACCCCTGAAATTTCATAACTCTTCGAGTTCAAATGTGTCGTCAGGAGTGGATGTGTTAAGTAACGTTGTCGTACGACTTTGTATGTCGATTGTCATCTTAAAATTATATCATAGCTATATCGTGCTTACCTCAAAACTATTTCATAGTTCGTTATAACGACATTTAAATTCCGTAATAACGACATTTAATCTCGTTATTACGACACAATTATTTGTGTACATGGTGTATTGACGTTGTTTCTTTATGATTAAATTAAGCATGTAAAATAATTTGCTTAATCTTTTTAATTCCTTTAACACATATTCCAACATTGTTTCATTTACATCGTGATTTTAATCAGATTAAACTTAATCTAATGTTTACTTTATAGATCTACATTACAAGACCTTCACACATTTCAGCAAGGTCGTGTTTTATTGCCTACCCTTTAAAAGGTATTTGCTGTGCACACCAAAGTTACATGTAATACTCTAAACCTAATAAACCCATGCACGATATAAAGGTTGGCCGTACATACTCTTCACTCTTAACAAGTTAACAACAGTTCAACACATTTGTTATATATCTATGTTATATCACCTTTGTCACATAAATGTCCTTAGCCACTGAGATAACCTTTGTCACCGAGATGACCTTCATCACTGAGATGACCTTTGTAACTGAGATGACCTTCATCACTGAAATGACCTTTGTCATTGAGATGACCTTCATCACTGAGAAGACCTTCATCAACGATATGACCTCAGTCACTGAGATGACAGTCGTCATTGAGATGACCTTAGTCACTGAGATGCCCTCAGTCACTGAGACGACCTTCGTCGCCGAGATGACCTCAGTCACTGAGATGACCTTCGTCATTAAGATTACCTTAGTCACTGAGATGACCTTCGTCACCGAGATGACCTTCGTCACTGAGATGATCTTAGTCACTGAGATGACCTTCATCACAGAGATGACCTTCGTCAATGAGATGACCTTCGTCGCCAAGATGACCTCAGTCACTGAGATTACCTTCGTCACCGAGATGACCTTCGTCATTGAGATGACCTCAGTCACTGAGACCACCTTCGTCGCCGAGATAACCTTCGTCATTGAGATGACCTCAGTCACCGAGATGACCTTCGTCATTCAGACGACCTTCGTCGCCGAGATGACCTCAGTCACTGTAAAGGAATGTGTCATTGAGATGACCTCAGTCACCGAGATGACCTTCGTCATTCAGACGACCTTCGTCGCCGAGATGACCTCAGTCACTGAGATGACCTTTGTCATTGAGATGACCTTCATCACTGAGAAGACCTTCATCAACGATATGACCTCAGTCACTGAGATGACATTCGTCATTGAGATGACCTTAGTCACTGAGATGCCCTCAGTCACCGAGATGACCTTCGTCATTGAGACGACCTTCGTCGCCGAGATGACCTCAGTCACTGAGATGACCTTCGTCATTGAGATGACCTTAGTCACTGAGATGACCTTCGTCACCGAGATGATCTTAGTCACTGAGATGACCTTCATCACAGAGATGACCTTCGTCAATGAGATGACTTTCGTCGCCAAGATGACCTCAGTCACTGAGATTACCTTCGTCACCGAGATGACCTTCGTCATTGAGATGACCTCAGTCACCGAGATGACCTTCGTCATTGAGATGACCTCAGTCACTGAGACGACCTTCGTCGCCGTGATTACCTCAGTCACTGAGATGACCTTCGTCATCGAGATGACCTTCGTCATTGAGATGACCTCAGTCACCGAGATGACCTTCGTCATTGAGACGACCTTCGTCGCCGAGATGACCACAGTCACTGAGATGACCTTCGTCATTGAGATGACCTTAGTCACTAAGATGACCTTTGATCATCGCCCCGTACACGTAGTCTAATTATCGTATTTGTTAGACAGATAGCAAGGCAACAACCAACGACTAGCTACTACAAGATACCTATGTTGTAATTAGGCTAACGTAGTCGTAATTATGAGATATCTATGTCGTTATTACGTCACAGTATGTCGTAACGGCGACAATCGGATTCAAACCATATCTTGATCTACGCTCCGTTCCGTAAACTACACTCTGCTACGTCAAGATATGGTTTTAATCAGATTGTAACGACGATATAAAAATATTACTTCACATGACACTTACCGCCTTCCATGGTAATGTTAATCCCCGGATAGTGTTTCTGTAAATTATATAGAGCGCTCTATCATTGTTATACAATGTATATGATTACATTATTTATCTTGACTGTGCTGAAATATGAGACTCTCTACTATCATGATTTTATTGTAAAAACAAACAAAATTAACAAAATTATCAAAATATTTCTATTTATTTCATGAAGATTAACGAAAAAAACAACTGTAGGTTTTTAACTTAGAAGAAGTGAAAAACAAACAAAAAAACAAAAACAAAAAACCCCAGTAAAAAACGAAAAATGGGACAAAAAAAAGGAAACTATCAAAATATAAACAGTCATGACGACCAAAAGTACGACATTGGTTAAACCATGCATAATTTTCAACATAACCACGCATCATTTCTCATAAACACTAACTAAACATAACCCTGTTCCTCACCTGTTAACCATATAAATAAGCAACACTATTTAAAAAACTGAACTGGATCAGTTCCCTACCAAACTAATTGTTTGTTAATTGTTACAAGTATAAGTGTACAAGGTCTCTACAAAGTCAAGGAGATAAGGTGATGACGTACATCGGTGATGACGTACATCGGTGATGACGTGCCTCGAGGAAGGGCACAAAGTTATAAACACGGTGTTGAGTCCATTCAGCGTTTTGGATGTAAGTTCGCCCCGAGAGGACGACATTTGTAACTTTAATTGTCGTTGTGTCGTCTGTTCGGGGCGAATCAGCGAAATGGCACATATCAGCCAATGTAGTATGCAAATGACTTATTTTACTGCATTGTATGGTTACAGTCTGTATAGTGTGGAAGTCACCGGATAAATATTTAATTTAGGTAATGCACGTGTTTTAGGTGTGAAAAGCTTTTTAGAAAGGAATGTCCTGCAGGACATCTCACTGTAAAGGAATGTCCTACATGACAGCTCACTGTAAAGGAATGTCCTACAGGACAGCTCACTGTAAAGGAATGTTATACAGGACAGCTCACTGTAAAGGAATGTACTACAGGACAGCTCACTGTAAAGGAATGTGCTACAGGACAGCTCACTGTAAAGGAATGTCCTATAGGATATGTAAAGTAATGTCATACAGGACAGCTCACTGTAAAGTAATGTCCTACAGGATAGCTCACTGTAAAGTAATGTCATACACGACAGCTCACTGTAAAGGAATGTCATACATGACAGCTCACTGTAAAGGAATGTCCTACAAGACAGCTCACTGTAAAGGGATGTCCTACAGGACAGCTCACTGTAAAGGAAGGTCGTACAGGACAGCTCACTGTAAAGGAATGTCCTATAGGATATGTAAAGTAATGTCATACAGGACAGCTCACTGGAAAGTAATGTCATACAGTACAGCTCACTGTAAAGGAATGTCCTACAGGTCAGCTCACTGTAAAGTAATGTCCTACAGGATAGCTCACTGTAAAGGAATGTCCTACAGGACAGCTCATGTCCTGCAGGACATCTCACTGTAAAGGAATGCCCTACATGCCAGCTCACTGTAAAGGAATGTCCTACAGGATAGCTCACTGGAAAGGAATGTCCTACAAGACAGCTCACTGTAAAGGGATGTCCTACAGGACAGCTCACTGTAAAGGAATGGCCTACAGGACAGCTCACTGTAAAGGAATGGCCTACAGGACAGCTCACTGTAAAGGAATGGCCTACAGGACAGCTCACTGTAAAGGAATGTGCTACAGGACAGCTCACTGTAAAGGAATGTACTACAGGACAGCTCACTGTAAAGGAATGTGCTACAGGACAGCTCACTGTAAAGGAATGTCATCCAGGACAGCTCACTGTAAAGGAATGTCATCCAGGACAGCTCACTGTAAAGGAATGTCCTACTGGACAGCTCACTGTAAAGGAATGTCCTACAGCTCACTGTAAAGGAATGTCCTACAGGACAGCGCACTGTAAAGGAATGTCATACAGGATAGCTCACTGTAAAGGAATGTCCTACAAGACAGCTCACTGTAAAGGGATGTCCTACAGGACAGCTCACTGTAAAGGAATGTCATCCAGGACAGCTCACTGTAAAGGAATGTCATAAAGGACAGCTCACTGTAAAGTAATGTCATACAGGGCAGCTCACTGTAAAGGAATGTCATACAGGACAGCTTACTGTAAAGGAATGTCCTACAGGATAGCTCACTGTAAAGTAATGTCCTACAGGACAGCTCACTGTAACGGAATGTCCTGCAGGACAGCTCACTGTAAAGGAATGTCCTACAGCTCACTGTAAAGGAATGTCCTACAGCTCACTGTAAAGGAATGTCCTACAGCTCACTGTAAAGGAATGTCCTACAGCTCACTGTAAAGGAATGTCCTACAGCTCACTGTAAAGGAATGTCCTACAGGACAGCGCACTGTAAAGGAATGTCATACAGGATAGCTCACTGTAAAGGAATGATGTCATACAGGACAGCTCACTGTAAAGGCATGTCCTACTGGACAGCTCACTGTAACGGAATGTCCTACAGGACAGCTCACTGTAAAGTAATGCCATACAGGATAGCTCAATGTAAAGGAATGTCCTACAGGACAGCTCATGTCCTGCAGGACATCTCACTGTAAAGGAATCTCCTACATGACAGCTCACTGTAAAGGAATTTCCTACAGGACATCTCACTTTAACGGAATGTCCTACAGGACAGCTCACTGTAACGGAAGGTCCTACAGGACAGCTCACTGTAAAGGAATGGCCTACAGGACAGCTCACTGTAAAGGAATGTCATACAGGACAGCTCACTGTAAAGTAATGTCATACAGGATAGCTCACTGTAAAGTAATGTCATACAGGACAGCTCACTGTAAAGGAATGTCATACAGGACAGCTCACTGTAAAGGAATGTCCTACAGGATAGCTCACTGTAAAGGCGTTCCACAAGTCGAATATATATAATAGGAAGGTTTTAAATTGTGAAAATAATTCTTTTTTTATTGCACGGTAAATGAATTACAACAATCGTAATGATCTGTCCACGTATACCACACGTAATCTTATTCATCGGTATATATAATCAAACACGAAATATAGCAACAAGTACATAACAAATCGTCACAAAATACCACTAAATAACGTATGCTATTATTCACACTCTGTATCTTAGACTAAATTGTTAAACCAGACGTACAATTGGCAGACTTTATACAAAATGCACTTCACGAAATATATATAATAACTTTCTGCTGATTGCTGTATTTTCACATTATTCACAGACGATGCGCTTCTTGTTATATTGTATTTTAAAATGAATAACTAGTATATGAACAATTTGTAATGAAGAAATATGATTGAGTTTGGTTAGCATGTAAAAGTACACCCCGACGGTCTTTTGTCAGAAAAGGGCAATAACTCCAACAAAAAAATAATCTTAGAGTCGTTCCCCTTTATCATTACAATTCTGCTGGCATTACTTTAAAGCGTTAAACCTGTGTCATTAGACAATATATTCAATTTCATACAAAACAGCGTTAAATTAACAAGATAGACTTTTAAAACAATATTCTTCCTATTTTTACCCAAAACATACGTCAAAATGGCCGCTATAACACTGAACACGTGCCAATTTAATTTACATACACTACAATTACAGAACGCTGCTTCGAAATATGAATTAATGCACAAATTCCTTAGGATATAGAAAAATAAAATTAAAAAAATAAGTCTCTTCATCTTTAAACCTTTCTATAATAATATCAAGAGAGAATATCAATGCTTATAAAATTCATTATCCAGTTATCCAGGCGATCAGGAACCAAATAACCGTATTTAAATGGAACATAACATACATTACAGCGACTATTGACGTATGTTTCGCTCTTCTTTTTTGTAAAAGTATTCTGAAATGACAGTTATTTCCATAACATGGTACATTATTATTTACCAGGGATGAAAGACAAACACAGTAATCGGCTTAAATAAAAACAGTATTTCCCGTTTAGTGAGGTACATGAATTAGAGATGTAAAAGGCATGCGCATTGCAATTTTCGTCAATAGAACTTCCGACAAAAGTTGAATATACTTAATGAATGTGTTCAAACAGATCACGTGGAACATTCATTAAAATATTGTGTTGTGAAATAGACATGACATTATCATTCTGGGGGAAACCTGTGAAACCTGTGAAAAGTTCATTACAATCGTAAATGAAACATTTAAAACCCAGGTAGTAATTCAACTTCTTCCAAATTGCAAACCGTAAAGTAAGATAATTAATTTTAAAATGTTTATCCTAAATGGTAATAATTCTAAATTGTAAAATGTATTTTTATCTTTTTATACATTTGAAGAGTGTCAATTGGTTGTGTGCGGATGTGTCATTAAGTTACAAATATGAAATTAACGAGGAAGAGAAGTTTAGTTAACGGTGTTGCTATAGGGTTTTATAGGCGACAATACCGACTACTGTTTGTATTTCAGACATGGCTTAGAATATACACCAGATCACCTTCACTGTATACTGTAGTGACTATTGCCAATAACACTTTTGTATATCAACATACATCAATAGTATTACTCACTGCACAAACATAGATACGTTTCTATGAGTTGTCTATATAACGCCGTCGGGTTTGATGATGACTAGGACAATAACAATAGGTACAATATGATAATGCGAATCTCATAAAGCAATAACGTGGACAGTCCACTACCACTACCTAACAATGGCCTTGACAATTACGTCATAAGTAACTATGGAAACAACGAAGGATTCATGACAAGGCAAAGCATTCTACACAATACGTGTGATAAGTATATATAAGCTGAAGAGATAGCTTAGATTTGTGTTTGGCTTTTGAGATCGTTAAGATACCAAAGCTAGGCCGGTTACATTTCCTAGTGTCAGTACTATTTTATTGTAACCATAACGCTTCGTTAATGCAACTTTTGTCCAAATTGAAATTTAAAGTACACACTTATTGAAATGGATCGATGATTCTGAAATAAGTACTTTGTTCTTCAAATTTAAAGACATATTATTGAACCTACATATAATTCGTTTATAAAGTTGGAGCTACTATTAGTAATTAGTTACCGGTTGTTTCAGTATAGCGTAACCCAAATGACAAAGGCGTAAGTGTTTACTGTTTTTTCAGTTTTCAATAAACAAAAATAGGAAATGTGGATTTATATAAAACCTGTAGAGAAGATTTAGAAAAATATCGTTTCGAACAAAAACGTTAGGAAGAATCCAATTGGGACGTGCGTAGCTTTAAACTATACATTTTATATATAGTAATGTATTAAACAGTATCATTACCATGTATATCAACCTGCACTACACAACAGCATTAACATTCAACAGCAACAACATACACAGCCAGTTTCAAATATTACACAAAAATAATTTATGTTATATATACATATATATATAGATTATATTGGAAAATAATTCATTTTGGCAACAGCGATGGTAATGCACCTTGGAATTCCAACATGAACATGACTGGGGTTAAATCACTAGCAAGGGAGACCACTCTCCGAAGAGTTAGCTCCCCCTTACACCGAATCTAACACCTCAATCGTGACCTTTTTCCTTGTTCAGCAGACATTCTTCGATTAGAAAGGCTCATCGAAAAGTCAAAGACATCAAACGCTAGAAACAGTTTCAGAAGACTCATGTACTTACTTGAGTGTAAAATCACAGTTCTGCGGTCAGTGCTTATGGCTAAGAAAATGAAGTGTGCTTATCTAGCTATTATCGACATTGAACAAGTAACTCAGGCCTTTGATGGAGTGTTTCCTTTAAGTGTCATACAACATGCTGTTTATTCCTCACGTAGTCTACAGTTTCTTTCTTGTCCTCATCTATAGATTTCCCCCCATTTTCTTTTATACTTACTCTAAAGTCGTTCATAGTTACAAAAATTTAACAAGTTACAAACACAGTCATGGCCGCCTAGTGAAATTATCTTTGACTTCATCCATTTGATGAAAATACAGTAAAAGCCGTTGGTGATGAATTACTAGTGACAACTTCTTCTTACTCAGATTGCTGCTTTGTTATTAGATGAGGCCAGCCGATGACAATGCTTTCCAACATTACACTAGTCGAAGGGACATAACTCTTCATTTGTCCAAGGTACGTCAATCCTCCATACTTAAATGTCAAACATTCTTGGGTTTGTCAACCTACTCCAAATCACTACTAAATCATCAAATATTTTCAGTAAATAATTATTCCTTTGAAGGCGCAAGAAGTTTCAGAAATTATCCGTGATTATTCATCCCCAATACAAATCTTAAATAATATCTTGTTTTCTGTATAACAGTTTAAGCACTTGTTTTTCTCCTCTTTATTTGTTCCTCCTCTTCTACAGTCATAAAGGTCTGCTGGACCTCTAAAGGATCCCGATCACCTGAATTAAAAGAAAAAATGTTCTAAAAAAAAAAATGGGGTATATTTTAAAACAATGCTAAGGGAGTAAGTATTTTACCAACAAACTGAAATCTAGTAAAAGGTAGGTATATCAGGAGGTAGACCCATGTTATATAGTTTTGAGTTAAAACACTTATCTTACAACATGGCAATCTACACTTACCGGTCTACCTGTTGCGCTAGAAACCCTTCTTAGAGCGATCCAAGCTATGTACTTAATGCCTGGATACAGTATCCTGCTGTCTTGGCAGTCATCATGAAGGTTTCATGGCCAAATTTTATCTAACAATATGGTGCCCTAAAATTATCATGAGGGTAGCTGCATTGTAAGTCCTCGTGAGGGTTACGGGCCGAGGGTTTGTACCTACATATCCTATATGGTGTCCTGGAAGTTAATCCTTAGGGTAACGGTCCCTGCAGGTAGGGCGTAAGAATTGTACCTGCTGGGGCCCCCATTGCATGATCGTAAGAGGCGACTAAATTTGGGATCTTATCTTTTCTCTTCTTTCTAAACAGCTTTCCTCTTCCTTATGTCTCCCTTGACCACGCCTCACTTTTGGCCTTTAGTTGAGCGTTCGCCACTGTGAGGAAGGCTTTGGGTTCTGTCCCCTGGCCGAGACATACCAGAGTCCGTAAAAATGGGAGTTTCTACTCCTGCAATTTAGGAGTGGGACGACTGGTTCGCCCGTTGTCAGTATATGTGACCGGGTGGGGTGTTTTGCTGAGTAACTTCGGCAGTATGTTTCAGTGAGGTGGCCCTATTACGTTGGCATCAGTTCCGCGCTATCTCAAAGAGACAAACACGAACATATCTCAGCCTCAAAAAAACACACACGCATACACTACACCCATGCATCTTGCACACATGGGAGGCTCTCCTTAAATGTCCATAGCTATGCATAGGACGTTAAACAATACTAAACCAAACCAAAACCTACCTAGCTACATGATGTCCTGGAAGTCCTCGTAAGGGTTTCTGTACGAGAGTTTGTACCTAACTAACTACGTGGTGTCCTGGAAGTCCTCCTGAAGGTTGTGGTCCGAGGGTTTGTACCTACCTAGCTACATGATGTCCTGGAAGTCCTCGTAGGGTTTCTGTCCGAGGGTTTGTACCTAACTAATTATGTGGTGTCCTGGAAGTCCTCGTAAGTGTTTCTGTCCGAGGGTTTGTACCTAACTACATGTAATTACATGGTGCCCCGGAAGTCCGCGAAGGTTGTGGTCGAAGGGTTTGTACCTAACTAGCTACATGGTGCCCTGGAAGTCCTCGTAAGGGTTTCTGTCCGAGGGTTTGTACCTAACTAACTACATGGTGCCCCGGAAGTCCTCGTGAAGGTTGTGGTCGGAGGGTTTGTACCTTACTTACTACGTGGTGTCCTGGAAATCCTCGTGAGGGTTTCTGTCCGAGGGTTTGTACCTAACTAACAACGTGGTGTCCTGGAAGTCCTCGTAAGGGTTTCTGTCCGAGGGTTTGTACCTAACTAAGTACGTGGTGTCCTGGAAGTCCTCGTAAGGGTTGCTCTCCGAGGATTTGTACCTAACTAGCTTCATGGTGTCCTGGAAGTCCTCGTAAAGGTTGTGGTCGGAGAGTTTGTACCTAACTAACTACGTGGTGTCCTGGAAGTCCTCGTAAGGGTCTCTGTCCGAGGGTTTGTACCTAACT